TAAGTTAATAATTAGTATTATTAAATTATTATAATATATATAATATATATATTATAATAAATATAATATATATAATATATTTTATTTATATTACTATATTTTAATCTTAATTTTTATGTTTATCACTGGAGATTTTTAATACACAATTAATGCGCGATATTTCTCCAAACGGAAACATATTTCAAATAATTTTTATACTACTCCGAAAATTAAAATCTGATACAGGATGCACAAAATAAATTTATTAGAAATTATTACGATTATTGTTAATTGTGATACATTCAACGTTACTTAGTAATGAACTATACGATAACGAACTGTACGATAACGTGACTTTATTGAGAAATTATTACAATTGTTAGATCAACAGTTGGTGCAATCGTGCGGTTCGCGCTTAGGTTAGGTTGGAATTGAAATTCATCGAAAAACATCGAAATAGCGCAATATAGTACAACACGTTAGGATAAAATCTAATGGTTGCTTCTGTTTGAAAATAAAGTAGGAAAAAATACTTTTATGAAATTCGTACGTGCACGTTCAATAAAAATTGACTTGGATGTAGTGACTTACGAGAGAAACGGGAGCAAAGAGTCGGGAGCAAGGCGCGCGCTCGTTCCCAAAACACGTGGTTCACCGGCGCATGAAAACAAGTTCATGGATACCTTTCTCCGCGCGATCAAAGTCACATTCCACGGTAGACGCGTTACGTGCAGCATACATGTATAGTAATATGTATTTCACAGTTCACAGCCGCGACAAACATTACAACGAAATAACCTGACACGCGAAAACCACGGGAATCGACGTGCACGACACACGGATGATTTCGATGTAGAAGCGAGAGAGCAGTTCGACTATCGATGTTCGATTCTGAACGATACGCCCCATCTTTGAAACGGACGTTTCGAATTACGCGTCACGTGCAGTGTTAACGCGCCATTAGATTCGAAAGTGTCAAGATGGCGCCGTGTAAAACAACGCAACGCGTTCGAGAGGAAGATAATCGTGTTTGAAGATAGGAAACACAGAGCCGGAGAGTTCGTCGGCTCGCAGTTCGTTGGTTAAAGTGGGACGCACGCGAGATACAGGTGTGCGAGAAAGACAGTGGGAGCACGTGACACGTGAAACGCACGCTTGCTGGAAATCACGCGATTTCATCCCCGAGCAAGAAACGACTGGTAGTCTGACGTGACAAAGAGGAGAGAATGAAGGGGGAAGGAAGTAAAAAAAGCGAAGGAGCATCGAGGGTGAGGAAGGACGGTAAAAGGGAAGGTGGCAACTGACAGAAGGAGCAGTCCAGTTGGTCGGTGAACGTCTGCCGGGCGAGCAGGCAGGCAGGCAGACAGACAACAAAGGTGAAACGAGAGTAAAAGCGAGTGACAGAGAAAGAGGAGACGGGAGAGTTGAGAGTATATACACAGTTCTTTTTTTTTTTTTTTTTTTTGGTTTTTCTTTTGCAACGCTTACCTCGTGTGCCCGAGGATGCTGGTGACTGCAGTGACGATGCTCGAACATTCCACACACAAGATCCATAGCACACACCACAACGATGACAACGAGGAGCAACACGACGGTGCCGCATTGCATCTTCAACCGCACTCGGGCCGCCATCACGGACGACGCTCGCGCTCGAGAAGCATGACACATACTGAGCGCGCCTGCCGACGCCGCGCATTTATATAAGCGTCGCGGCAGCCAGCGCCACGCCACTCACGTTCGATACCTCGAGCGCGGCAGACGCTCTCTGCTGTCGCCGCGATAACTCCCTCGGGAGTAACCTGCAAAGAAATCGAACGGTTACTCTCGATAAACGCTGCGAAACCGTCTACGCTAAGTTCCGCTTTTTAACAGCTAATCAATCGACTTCTTCCTTCCTTTTCTACGCGGAGAAAAAAAAAAAAAAAACTCTTTTCTCAACCCGTTGTTCTCATCTGGTCGAAAGAGCTTTTATCCTCACTTTTAAGTTTTTAAATTTTTCAACTTTGCAGAGTAATTAAATTTGCATGCACTTCTGTAAACAAATTGCTTTTGTTAATACACGGGGATAAAATTCTACATGCGTTCTTTCATCCTGCCTTTAAAAATGTACATACACATGTTTTGCGCGTGAAAAACATGTTTCTCTCAAAAATTTAGGAAGAAGGTATAGTGTTATATACCGGCAAAATTCAGGAAAACGAAAGAAATCAATGTTTGTCAGGAGATGTCAATATTTTATTCGAGTTATCGTATTACAAAGATATCGTGTGTTTTATATAGTCTGTAAATTTTTCATTATAGGATAGTCGCTAACCAACAGAAGGGTTGCAAAGAATTATAAAAACAAATACTGACTTTTACATACATATATATTACAAATAACAGATACGACACATTACGCGTGGATATTTTACAAGAGTAATTGTCTCTTTTTTTTTTCAATTTTTACATATTTGCGCATACCAATTCTTGCTCTCTGCGCAATGTTTGCTAACGCAGTGAGGGCAGCGCGTTAAAAACATGGGGCTTATTGGCTTGTTCGATTTGAGATGAGAAACAACGATATCTGCCAAAGCTGCTATGAACGTGGGATGATCATTGGGTGCTGCAGTTCTCCGTATTTTTTCAACGCCCAGCTGAAGATGAAAAAAAAAAAAAAAAA